CAAAAGAAGAACAATGTTCACAACACTAATACACTTCAACATTATGAAAAGAAACCTCAAGTCGATTTGTATACCCAGGTTTACACAAAGCACTTTCAGGGGTGTACGAGAATGGCCCCACCCCAGGAGGAAATATTTTATAATAACTGACATAAATAAATGATTGGCCTCTTTCATATTTACAAACTGTTAAGTTTAACTCCCGTTAGTTGATAATGATAGGTAAATACTTTTCAGGGGTGTACGAGAATGGCCCCACCCCAGAAGGAAATATTTTATAATAACTGACATAAATAAATGATTGGCCTCTTTCATATTTACAAACTGTTAAGTTTAACTCCCGTTAGTTGATAATGATAGGTAAATACTTTTCCGCAACTTACAGAAATATAACTGTAATTTTTCTGAACTGACTTTATAAAGTTTTGTAAAGTTGAAATGTTTTATCGAAATTTATACTTTTACATTTATGCATTTCCATAGTATCGCCTGTATCCAAATTTATTTGTAATGTATAGGAGCTTTGCATACAGGTGAGCACTTAACTAAACCGGAGAATGGAGCTCAATCACTATCTTTAAAGCCCCTTTTAAACCTTCCTGGCTTTTGTTCGAACGTCCAAAGGTTGTATTACACACAACTTTGATAATACCGTTCCAAAGCAGGACTTTAGGGTTTAAGATTTTAAAACTCATTCAACCATCTCGATTATTTCTTGTTTAAAAATAACTCTAATACACTGATGTATTAGAGTCATTAGATACAACTTTGATAATACCTTTCCAAAGCAGGACTTTACGGTTTAAGATTTTAAACCTCATTCAACCATCTCGATTATTTCTTGTTTAAAAATGACTCTAATACACTGATGAAAATACATTATTTATTAATTTCCAAAAAAAAAAAAAAAGAAGAAGAAAATCAAAATAAAACTCGTATACGAGGCTTTATAAAACTGAAACAGCTGTGAATATCTCTAATATTGCTTTATATATTTAATCGCTTCTACTGGACTGGATATCTAAACTCACTAAGTTTTTTATTTTGTTAATAAATCACAGCTGACGCTTGTTCTCTTTCTTCAGCTCAACATTACATTGAGTTTCTTCGTATCTGAAGCTTCGTTATTAACAACGATTATGAAATTAATTGTGTATAATTTTAAGGACACATGATACAGTCACACAAGCTCATATTGTACAGTCTTTAACATTTACCCAGTTATGTTCACGGTTAAACAACAAGCTTAACGACATGTCACGCCACGGGTTTTGTAATAAACTTTGTGTGCTCTTACGCCCAAAACCTGGTTACACGACACACTGTGTGTGTGTGTAATTACGTCTGTATCCTAGTTACACGACAAACTTTGTGACACACTGTGCGTGTAATTACGTCTAGTTCTAGTTACAGGACGTGTTTTATGATACACTGTTTGCGTTCTTACGCGATTCCGGGTTATATGATACGCTTTGTGATACACTAAGTGTGTATTTACGTCTAAATACTGATTAGCCAGTATGTTTTAATGTATTTATAACGTAATACACAGCATAACGGGTAATTTGAATGTGAATGTAACACTGTAAATGAGAAGGACTATCACCAGCAGGATTTGGATTTGTGCACACAGAGTAACTTGTATAGTTTTACACTAGATTCTGAAACAAACAAAAAAACTTTCTCCGCCATTAAAATTGGTGCAGTGGACCACTATTTATCAAGACCATGTTATAAAAATATTCGATAGATTGCAGAATTACTCCCCTTTTTTATTGCTTTGACACATGATTCAGGTGATCCATGCTCTATATATTTTTACTGTGATCTTTACTTTTGACTTGCATTTTTTAATATCTAATCTGTACAGTTTATTATAGTACATAACAAATAATGAAGATTTGAGCTTGAACAAACACACACACGCACACAGTATATCGTAAGGAGTGTTCTTAACTAGGATTTGTAAGGATATTGTTTGTTTGTTTTTGAATTTCGCGCAAAGCTACACGAGGGCTATCTGCGCTAGCCGTCCTTAATTTAGTAGTGTAAGACTAGAGGGGAAGGAAGCAAGTCATCACTACCCACCGCCAACTCTTGGGCTTCTCTTTTACCAACATATAGTGGGATTGACCAACACATTATAACGCCCACACGGCTGAAAGGGGCGACCACGTTTAGTGGGACGGGGATTGGAACTCGCGACCCGCAGATTGCGAGTCGAGCACCCTAACCACCTAGCCATGCCGGGCCGATCTCCCCATGGACCCAATGAACCTCCATACCAAATTTGATGAAGATCCACCAACAGGAGGTGAGGTAATGGTGCAAAACGCAAAACCGAAAACTTGTATGAACCTCCGCATGGGCCCAATGAACCTCCATATGAAATTTGATGAAGATCCACCCACAGGAGGTGAGGTAGTGGTAAAAACCGCGAAAACGTCCATAAAACCGCAAAACTGAAAATCTGTATGTACCCCCGCATGGACCTAATGAACCTCCATACCAATTTTGGTAAAGATCCATCCACACCCTGCGAAGTAGTTACATGGGCATACAACAGACAGAACTATTATATTCATATAGATTCGTATTTAGGAAAGCAAAGTTCAGAATTTCAAAGTTGAAAATGTCCTTTGTATTTAAAACTTTGAACTTAAATCGATTAATGATATTGATATCTAAATTCAGATATTGTGTTTCGTTTTTTAGAGATGACAATTTGTAAGTTGTGTCTATTAAACCTTGATACTTCGGTATAAGAATGTATATATGTGTGTACATATTAGTTCTTCTTAGTAAGGCCTGCAATGTATGAAAATTCCAGTCCGAATACATACAAAATCTGAAACTTGCTAGATGAAGTTACCTCCCAATGGAATTTGGTGGAAGATAAGCTGGCCAAAATACACAAATGTATTATCAAGTAAAGGTACATGGCCTGCAAGAATCTATTTAATGTGAAACAGTGGTAATTTTTGTTTTACGTAATTTGGGAATCCAAAATAATTTACGTATAATATTGTTTTATTTAACCGAACACCGAAACTCTGAAAAAAATCAAAATGTGTGTGTATGTATGTTACTTTCTTCACATAAATTTGTAAAATAAAACTTTCTATAAATGCAAAAAAAAAAGGTTGGGGGAGGGGGAGTGGTGATATATCTACAATATAAATGACTTCTTTACGCTGTATTCTAATGTGGCAGATGGATAAACAGGGTAAAAGACACAAAAACCCACTGAGTACGCTGTATTCTAATGTGGCAGATGGATATGCTGAGCAGAATACATAAAAACCTACGGAGTACGCTGTATTCTAATGTAACCAAGCAGATGTCACAACAACCATCTGATTTACCGTTGCTATAGTCAGATTTATACAACTTTCTCCCACAAAGTAAAATAAAGGGAAAAGGGAATGTTCAATTTTTATATGCAGCTACTCACGAAACATGAGCTTCAAAATGAAAACCGATGGAATAGTGACAGTAGAAAAACACAGACTCATAAAAACTATAGTTCATGCGCTATCATAGACACGTCTCTAGAGGAGTTTATAATCTAAAAATGGAAGACATTTCACGGAAGACATTACGTCCAATAATCCATGCTAGTCTGTGCAGTATGTCAGATTTTGGGGGAAAGGAGACTGCCGTCCCAGGAGAAATCGCTGCTCTGCATGACAAATTACAGCTGAACTAAAACGCCAGCCACCCTTGGTCTCCGGAAGCTAATACTAGATTTGGTGCCAGATACGTGTTTGATAAATAACAGAACTCGAGACTTGGAATATCAAATGATAGAAAAATCAGTTATCAACCCAGTTGGTACGTCAGTCTGATATTCTGCTTATATGTTCTATTGCAGAAATAAGTTTTATTCTGTATCTGCTAAATATTGATCTTAAGATTCACGAAGAGACCTCCCAAAGACAGTTTGGAGAATAAGATATCACCAATCTATCTACCTACATACTTATTTAATTGGCTCGGCATGGCCAGGTGGTTAGGGCGCTCGACTCGCAGTCTGCGGATCGGGGGTTCGACTCCCCGTCACACCAAACATGCTCCCCCTTTCAGCCGTGGGGGCGTTATAATGTGACGGTCAATCCCACTATTCGTTGGTAAAAGAGTAGCTCAAGAGTTGGGGGTGGGTGGTGATGACTAGCTGCCTTCCCTCTAGTCTTACACTGCTAAATTAGGGACGGCTAGCGCAGATAGCCCTCGTGTAGCTTTGCGCGAAATTCAAAAACAAACAAACAAACAAAACTTATTTAATTACTAACCTCTATGCTTCGCTCCCTCTATATGTGTGTGTGTACACATCCATTGAACTTTTAAAAAATCTCAGTTTACTCCATGATTTAACTAGATATTTTGTAGTAAGGTTCAGACTGATACCTAATCCCACGGATAGAAATAAAACTACTTTCAATGACGAAGGAGTTTTAGTTCTCATATTAGCACACACTAAACATCACAACTTGAATTTGTTGCCTTGAGTCAGAGCTATAGTGGAGGTGTACATATGTAACCAAACATTAATTCTACTTAAAATTATCTGATAAAACTAGCGTCAACAAAGTTAGGCAACACAGAAACTTGTAATCAATAACACTAGAAGTTTAAAAGTCAGCAGAAAAAAACAACCTTTAACATCTGATGCTCATCAGCCATAATATACTATAAACACCGATACGTCAAAATATTTCAATTCCTTATATATATATGATCTATCGACTTTCTCCAACAACCTGCATTATCAGTCAGTTTGGAAAACTATATTTACAGAACTAATGTTATTCCTAAAAGTTTTTCTCCAGCTTTCAATACGTTCAATTTCAAGATGTGTCGAAGTGTTAAAGTATTTCTTCTCTAAGGAAGGGCGGCCTTTTTTAAGATAATTCCCTTGGTTAATAACAAGATAAGTTTAGTGCTCTTAATATTAACTGACACACTTAGATTTGATACAGGTAATAACTATGGATACCTACCTGGTCGTTGCAACTGGAACGTGTGAGTTACGATGCCTAAGATCGCTCGTTTCTACATCAGCAGTACCGGTAACACTCTTTATAGGAGACAAGGTCTGGCCACCGCCACCTCTAGTTAAAGGGGGTGTGGCTGCTGCTGACGGAACAGCGCCTCCTGTCTGTTTAATGGGTGGCCGTGCGGAGCTGAACGAGGAAGATGGAGATTTATTTTCTCCAAGGCCGGATTCTGGAGACAAGGAGACGACCGTTGGGGTTTGTGGTGACCTGGATCGGCTGTCGACTGGTGGTAGAAGAAATAGACAGATCGTTAGGGAAACTTTTTTGTTTTATTGTTATTATTAAGCAAAAAAACTACACAATGGGCTATCAGTGCTGTGCCCACTGCGAGTATCGAAACTCGAGTTTTAGCCCTCAGACTTACCACTAATTACGGGGGGGGATGAAAAGCAATATATAAAACTATAGTAGAACATCAGTCTTCTTGTCGATAACGTTCAAGCTGCCGCTCCTCAATGAACATTAGCACAAAGGGACCGTTAATAAACAGAATTAGCACAGCTGAATGGGCATTTCATCGCCATATGCAACAGTTAGATACTTGTGGTATTAAATCATCGTGTCACAGAATGCCAGTAGTCGTGCACGGAAGTGGATACTTCTACATTAGTTCATTACGCGTGCGAACTTAAGTAAATTAATTTGCACATTATAATATAGTAATCAAAACTTAAAGAAAAGGTATCAATTATTACAACGTCACAATATGAAAATATAAAGCGATAACAGACAAAGAGCAATAAACAAAATAGCAACAGCCATATCTGAAACAAAGATACGCAAAATTTGACAGTGTATAAAGCAATGACAGACCTCGAAGAAAGCCTTGAGTCGACCATATTTAGAATGATGGCGAATCTGAGACTGTGTTTGTTTGTTAAACACAAAGTTACATAATGGAATACCTTTTCTGTGCCCACCACGGGTATCGAAACCCGATTGTTAAAGTCTTCAGACTTACTGCTGAGCCACTTGGGGGCCTAAGACAGTGTAGACCTGATATAATGCCAGAAGACGTCAGTAAAGAGTAATAGCGTTTTTAAAACAATGCACACTGTCATCTTCCAATTTGTTTCCATTCAGTGTACTATTGTTTCCGATATTGTTTTAGATCTGTTATCTCTGTACACTGTCATCTTCCAGCATTGTTTCAGATTTGTCATCACTTTATACGTCTTTTAGCATTTGTTTCCATTCAGTGTACTATTGTTTTCCGATATTGTTTTAGATCTGTTATCTCTGTCGTATAAAGCGATGACGAAAGTATATAGACTATCACTAGTAATGGCGACTTTTAATAGCTTCGTTTTGAATTTACTGATTGATTATAAGTATTATTTTATAACAAGTTACAGCTTTTACAGTAGGGAAGAATATTTTTTAAACAGGTACGACGTTTCGATCACTGATGGGATCATTCTTAAATACACAAGGTAAAGAAGGTTTTAGTA